CCCTGCAGTTGATATCAGGGTTACTTCTTAATCTTTATCAAAACCTTAAAGATGTTGATTAAAAATATAAATACTGAAAACAATGAAGCGAGGGACACACTAACAGTACCTGATACGGCAGTACTAACAAAGCACCAAGTTTTGCACTCTGCATTTCAAATAACACCTTTCACCAGCGAATTATTCTAGTTAATTTAATAAACTAATTATGCGGATTCACATACGACTCCTGAATAAAATAGTTTTTAGTAAAAGATAAAATCCTTCCAAAGCAAACACCTTTTGGAGAAACTAACAAATATGTAACAGCACATAAATTACTAATAACATAACAAGAGTAGCCAACAGTTACAAGCCATGAGGAGCTTAAGAAGATGTGGACCCAAAATCAAATTCCTTATATTTAGGAGCTGCTTCAATCTATAAATTACCTTATAAATAATACAATCTACCTATGTAAAAAACCTCACATAAACATTCAAGTGCCTACATAAACATAAACAGTTACATACTTAAAGTCGCTACGAGTAAGAAAGCAAGTCACCTGGACTCTGGGACCTCCTTTTATCCTTCTCCACCTTCTCATGAATTCCATCAAGCATGGAAATGAAAAATTCATGGGCATCTTGCTGCTCATAACTAGCCAAATTTGCCGCATGTTGCTACCAACTACACAAACCTTATTTTACATTAATCCCACTTCTTTTACCTCAAAACAAATAATAGAACCCAAACGATATTTAAAAAAAACTTTTTTTTATTAATCTTGATATTCACTCTCAGAATTAAAAACAACATTATGTTGACAAAAACTAACCTGTACAAGAACTTAGCTGGACTATATGGAGTCCGATCCCCGGAGAAAACAGCCGACAACATGACGTCCATGTCACAAGCCAAACACAATCTTGAATTTTTAGTGCCATTGATAGCACTACTTTTTTGTTGACAATAATATCTATTATGCCGATCGCTTAAGAAATAGTTACGCAACGGCGGAGTATGGAGCAATGCTTGTAAGGGTTTGTTTGTTTCCCGTAATTGGAATTACGGAATTGGTTTTCCCCGAATTCTCGTGTTTGTTTCACGTAATTCGTTTTTCGGAAAATGTTTTCCCGTGTTTGTTTCACGTAATTTGTTTTTCGGAAAACGTTTTCCCGTGTTTGTTTCACGTAATTCGTTTTCCGGAATGTAATTCATTTTCCTAGTAACAGAATTTCCTTTGTGTTTTCTGTAAAATGACTTACAGATTCATTTTCCGTAAGTCATTTTCCGAACTTTTCACTTCAAAGCAAAAATACTCAAAATAATTTTATTTTATGAATTTAATATTAATAAATATTTTATCATATCATATTATTAAAATAAAAATATATTATTATTAATATTTATATAATATATATATATTTTAATATTATATATAATAATATATTATATAATATTTTATATTTTAATAATAATAATAATTATTTATATATTTCAATAATATTTTAGTAAAGATATTAAAATATACTAATTAATATTTTTAAAATATAATATAGTACTATTACTTTAATAAATAATTAATATAATTTATAAAATTTTATTTCACTAAAATATACCGAAAAAATGTTTAAATAACATCTTCCAAACATCATAAAACGTTTTCCAGATGTTTTCCAGAAATGTAATTCATTTTCCAGAAATGTAATTCATTTTACAGAAATGTAATTCATTTTACAGAAATGTAATTCATTTTCCAGAATTCAAATTCCAGTAATTCATTTTCCAGTAATTCAAATTCCAGTAATTCAAATTCCAGTAATTCATTTTCTGGAAAACCAATTACAGCTAAACAAACAGACCCTAAAATTGAATTCATAAAGCAAGTATTCCCTAATTTATTTAATCCACGTAATCCCCAAGGTACTTGTGTTTTCGAAACCACCGACGCATTGGTGGAGTCGTGGAGAGGGATCAATTGGTTTCCAATGGAGATGTCTTCTTCTGAATCTGGCTTCCACGGGCGGTAATCTACTCGATGTCGCTTTCCTAGATTCTCCGGTTGAGACCCCGCAACGTTGAATTGCATTGCTGTGGATCCGGAAGTTGAGGTGGTTGCGGTGGCGTTCTTAGCGAGGACGACAACAGCGTCGAAGTCGCGATCGTAGACCTGGTCACGGCACGCGCAGCAGAACAGTTCAGCTCGATCGACGTCCACGGCGATCTCGTGACCGGGAAAGGAAAGGGAGTGATCCGACGCGTGGGAATGAAGAAGAGGCGCGTGACAGAACACCGCGGCGCAGGAGACGCACGCGTACAGTCTCGGACGGGAATATTCGTCGCACGTGTCGCACCGTGGGACCTCGGAGGGTTCCCTCCTTATGGAGGCGCGACCACCGGGCGGCTTGACGCGGATACAGTCCTGTAGGGCGCGAAACGGCTTGGAGCCGTTGCGAGAACGGAACTCGAGGAGGTGGGGACACGGCTGAGGCGAGGCGTGGCCGTCGGTCTTGGAAGACATGGTGGTGGTGGCGGCGGTGGCGGGAGGTGATGGTCGCGTTGGAAATAGAAACCCTAGAATGAAGGACATAAGGGTCATGGATCTGGATAATCGAAGTTGAAAATCAACGGCTGAGATTGATCGAATGAGAGTGAAGGAGCATTGAGTTTGATGGAAAATGTTGGGGGTGTGTATCGGATAAAAAAATATATGTTTTACAATTTCTGTTTATCTTCTGCATTAATCCAACAATTAAGTAGATCAAATAGAAACCCTATTCAATACTTGCCCAACAAGGAACCATTCCATTTTGGAGTTTTTAATCATAAAATAGTAGGTTTACGCGTTGTTTTTGTCTATGTAGTAAATTTAATTTATCATTTTTTTCTTTATATTATTTTATCGTTAGTTTAATTCTCAAAATTATTTAATTACATAATTTTAAACTTTAAAACCTTTGATCTTAAAGCCTAACCCCAAACTCTAAAGTCTAACTTAAAACTTAAACTATAGCATTTGTACGTCATTGAGGGGATACGATATCTCTTTTCGACATCCATTTTAGAACGTCGGAGGGAATAATACCTCTTTCTAGAGGGAGGTTGTATCCCTTATTTAACATCGAGGAGGACCATACATCTTCCTTGAAATGCCATGGATTATGGTCAAATTTGGTGAGGAATTAAAATGAAAGATCAATCGATCATTATTGGATATATAAATGGACTTAGACGGGTAGGTAGGTCGTTGTCCCCTAAAAATTTCAAATTTTTATATAATTTAGATTTTTTTATTTCTATTGAAAATTTATTTCCATACTGCTAAAATTTTATAAACTTATTTCCCTTTAAAATTTTATAAATTTATTTTTACTAATATAAAATCTAGCATTCATCCATATCTAGACAGAAAACGAATTTAATTTTCTAATGTGTAGTTATTGAAGTTGTAATCCTTATCCTGTTACATGCCTCCAATAATTTGGGCAAGCATAGGGAAGTTTTACCGTACGATAGTCTTAATATACGACTAAATAAAATCATTATTGGTTTTGTTATTTTTTTAAACAAAACCGGTAAAAAATTACCTAAAACATTATTATTTCTACCGGTTTTGTTATTATTGGACGCTTTATCGAGCTTGATAATATATCCGGTAAAATGCTACCTAAAACATTATCAAAACCGGTAAAGCGCCCAATAATAATAAAACCGATATAAATAATACTATTTTCAGTAATTTTTTATCGGTTTTGTTAAAAAAATAATAATAACAAAATCGATAATATCTTTCTTTAACCGTATAATAGGCTGCCGCACCTGAGACTTCCACGCATGCGAGGAGCCCCATTTCTCTTTTTAATACAATCATATGTTCCCTTTTCTTGCATCATTGACATGGTGTGGTGGCCAACCCACCAACCCAAAGCTCAATCATTTGGTTGTGTTGTAACTTAGCCACCTCTGCACCTCAAACAGCCTCATCATCAAAACCAAACACCGTAAAACCAGGCACTACATGATCTAGGGTTATTGCTACAATACAAAGGGAAAGACTGCATGAATACCATGCAATTTTAATTTTGTAATAAAAGACATATAGATTATTCTACGTCTTCGGTTTTTCCAAACAACATTCATAGAAATATAGAGTAAATAAAAAATAGTCGGTGATAGGGAAGACGCACTATGATCCATGCATCTTTCTCGAAAAAATTAAAGTTATGTAATGTTTTCGACATCCTCCCCTTAATACTGTAGCAATGACCTTAGATAAAAAAAATAATATGGTAAACGTCTTATGCGAAAAAATCTTTTATTAATAGAAGGATTGTTGGTGTCATACTTAGGGTAATGATGACTATAAATAGATCGACAATGCGAATAGATTTAGAGCATCATATAGCAGATTTAGTTGGTGACAGGATTTTATAGTTTTTTCTTTTATAAAAATTGGATGTCTCATTAAAAATTCCATTCGTATTCGTCCACATACTAACAAGTATGTTAACGAACATTAGAATGAAGAAAAGAGTACTTCATAATTCATTAAATAAAAATCCAGTACATTTGAAAACACGAAACACCCTCACGCAAGGATAGACACCATTACAAAAAACCAGAATCACCTAAAACTCTCACCTCCTCAACCACAAAGCTCCAGAGACAATCACCCTATTCCTAAATTACACCTCCAGCAAAAGTAAAACCACCCAACACCTGAGGACATTACAGAACAGAAAAACAAAACAATATTTTATAGTTGTCTTGTCAAGTGACTGTAACAATCCGACTGTAACAATCCAAAGGATATAGAACTCCGACGACCTCGATATTCAGAGGATTATAATCAGAGGTGCGATTTACAAAGGACATTGACAAAGGAGATTGCAAGAACAGATTTGACAGTTTTTGACAGAGATCTGCAAAATGATTACCAGTTACAGTCCCTGCTACTTGTGAGGAACAAGTAACTGAAACATGAAGCAAAGGAGATTCTTACAGCTAAAGGCAGAATAAAAAAGCTTAAAATGATCCTTTTCTTTTGCTCCCTTGTCCCATGAAGCAATCAAGATAACAAACAATACTAATTTCCATCAATACGATATGATCGAATGTACAAGTTCATTTTGTTACAGGCATTTCGAAACATATCGTCTTATGGAGGCTTTCACATGTTGCTTTTTTGATCGAGTATACAACATTTGTATATTTTTTTCATGGAACAATTATATTCATGAATTTTCTTTTCGCGAAAGCTAACCACCATTTATTTGGAGTTCCGTTGGGCCTATAGGCGACGCTCAGCAGTCTCCCGCTTGTTTCTTCTCGTATTTGCTTCAGATAATTCCTAAGCAGTTCTGCATTTAAGAAACCAACGAATTATATGGTAGCCAACTATCGAGACCTCGGTACCCGAAGAGGTGAATAATATCACAAAGGATCGAGAGTTCTACAAAGTATCCCAAGCATTGCATACTTCCTCCAACACTCCTTGTTTATTCAAAGCACTATTGGAAAATCAACAGATTTTACAATTTCATGTTCACCAAAATTGAGGCTTTTTAAACAACTTGATTTAATTCCACCATCAGAAGGGAGGCTCTCGGAAAAAAACTCGATCCCCCGAGTTAAGATAAGCATAAAGTCGAGAATTTGCATCACATATAATTCAAAACTATAGCCCTGAAGTGGAAAATACATTTTATCTGCATAATTCTCAATCTTCCATGCAAAAACAATTTGAGCTACTGTTTTCTCAAGACAATAAATAGATCAGGTACGGTGAGGGCCGAGGCAGCTAAACTGACTAAAAGAGTTCACTACGGCTCAATACGATACTTGGAACATGTTTAACAAGTACCCAACACTTCAATAATCGATGCATCTTATATCATGTATCAAAATGTAAAAGAAGATAGTAAGAGATTAACCTGCTTCCTTTTGAGACTGTGGAAGCACAAAGAGCCCTGGAAAAGGAAAACCCGATTCTCCAGGTACAGGAACGTCTTCCAATCCCAAGTTAATGATTGCCTTGGTACCTTCAGCCAAGGTCCTACAACCCTCAAGCCTCTTCAAAGCCACATTTATGTAGAAAGTCAGATATATAAGGAGTTTATCCGCGGGGCTCTTAATATCGAAGTTTCTAAAGAACACATTAGCACGAAAGAATGTGATCGCTTCATCGACAATATCAGTTTTACCTGCAAAAAAACATCTTGAATTACCAACTCAAAAGATAAGGATATAATATCGAGAACTACTGATGACGGTGATAAATCCGACCTTGATCTGAAACAGGTGCAGGACCCCTTATATGACTTTTCAAAGGAAGTAAAAGGAAGCCACAAGCTTTAGTAATTCCTTCCTCATCAACAAAACTAGAGTGATAAACCTGGCATTAAATAACCATTTCTAAGCGAATACGAGCCAAATGATCATAATTAAACTATTATGAATTACGTGCATAATCTAGCAGATGAAGGGGGCAGGAATTTAAATAGCGATCTGCTATTGGAACAGCAACCATTATATAGCCTATTTCACAACTGCAATAGAGGCAATTACTGCAATCGTGATAAACGCAACGCAGCCAAAGAAACGGCCGCGATCGCAATTTAAATCCCTGGATGGGGTATAAGGAAAGAGATTGCTTCAAATACCATTCTCTTAGATTTCTTTTTCCAAACAAACAAACGAGGCAATGGGATTTCCACTCAAAAGAACAAGGGCAACCAAATGTTTCTGCAAAGAACAACAATACAACACCAAATTACAATCAAAAGTTACGATTTTTTTCCCCACATGAGTAAGGAATTTCCCTATCCACAATATATAATAACACTCAATTAGTTTCTTTACATGGAATTAAGCGAGACCCGAGATCTTAAAAACTAGGCATAAGCCCATCAAATTAAAGAAGCAGTGAATCGAAAATTCAAGGCAAACCCATTATACTAATGGGGAGTTCAGTGCATGTAGAAATCTTTAATGGGAAAAAAAGAGGGGAAATGAACCAACAATTTTTTCTGGTTAATTTAAACTTAGATGAACCAACCAATTGGGTGTTGATCCATTCAATCATATGGTTAAAATGGGAGAAAGAAGAAGAAAAAGAATGAGCAACTTACTGCCAACAAACGCTTTCAACTCAACGCCAAAGTTTGAACAGTAATCAACTCACCTGCCTTTGGTTGGGGTTTTTCTTGGAGATCAAACCATTTAACTGGGTTGAAGATCACTACACAAAGCCCAATATAATGAGAAAAAAAGTTAAATTCGATTTATTTTTATTTAAGGGTAAAATACACAAATGATCCTTCGATTATGGGATACTTCTTTATTAAATATTTCAACTATTAAAAGTTACAAAATAATCCTAAAATTATATAGTGTTGCTTTGTTGAGTCTCTCGACTATTAAAAATTACAAAATGTCTCATATTAATTATGTTCCAAATTCGTATTGAGTTGAACATTAAGCTGTTGACTATGATATGATAAAATCTAATCCCATAATCCCATGCCACTATCATATCACAACCATCATGTTAACATCCAACTTAAACAACCGTTAATTTTTTACCGAAAAAAGATGAGTTTGGAACATAATGATTAGTCAAGTGATCATTTTGTAACTTTTAATATTCAAGGGACTCAACAAAACAATACTCTATAATTAGAAGAATATTTTGTAACTTTTAATAGTTGAGGGACTTAATAAAGTAGTACCATATAGTTGAGGGACCATTTGTGCAATTTACCCTTTTAATTTATAATTAATTTTAATTTATTTATAGGACAAAGTACCTTAACTGTTCATGACTATAAGATATTACTTTCTTAAGTTCCTCAACTATTAAATATTACAAAATGTTCCTTTTATTATAGGACAATGATTTGTTGAGTATTTCGACTATTAAAAGTTGTAAAATAGTCATCCAATTATTCATATGTTTCAAACTCGTCATTTTTTATTAAAAAATAATGATGACAATCTAAGTCGGATGTCTGAGATATGATAGTCGTTTGAGATTTTGGGATAAGATTTTATCATATTACAGTTAACAGGTTGAGGTCTATCTCAGACTATCGTATATTTTTTTAGCATAAAATGGTATAAGTTTGGAATATATGAATAGTTGGTTGACCATTTAGTAATTTTTAATTTTCGGGAACTTAACAAAAAAAAATGTCATATAATCAATGGATCATTTATTAACTTTTAATAATCAGATGACTCAACAAAGCAATGCTCTATAATCGAGGGACCATTGTGTATTTTACCCTTATTTAAAATATAAAGAATAAATATTTTATATTTAAAATGGTGAAAATGAATTTACAATACTACATAAAAATATTGATTTTCTGTTTTTATTGAAAAATAATTTTATTTAAAAATATACATTATGAATAAAATTTTCTGGTCCCTTTTCTTGAGTAGAAATTATTAAAAAAAACTTATTAAATAAAAATATAAAGCTATTTCCTTAAAATAAAGTTTAAAACTAAAAAAAATCAAAACCTGTTCCAAATAATAAAATATTTAAGTGCAAACAGCTTCATCATTATGGATCACTAAATTATTAGGACGATCCTACGTAGCTTACTCAAGTGTAAAATTTATCAATTAAATTATTAAATAGAAGAATTAATATAAAAATAAGTGTTTAAATTTTATCTCGAAAAAATGTTTGAGTGCTTAAAAATTTTCACTAAAAAAGTTTTTTTCGTCACACTTTTAGATATCCGGACGTTAACCGTTATTAAAAATTGTTAATTGATACGTTTCACGTTATGATAATTTGAGGGTTTTTATTTAAAATAATTTTTTTTTTAAAAAAAACTGATTTTTTTTCAAATTTAAAAAACCCAAAACTTTTAAAACTTTAAATTTAGTCCCTTTGCTACAACCATTCGCCATCAACACTGTCACTCAACCGAACACTTAACGACGTATGGACGACCAACCACCCCACGAAAAAAACCCATACTTTTGCAACCAATCGAACACTAAAAAAATGGTGTAAATGAGAGATTTCGTTTTAGGTTTTTGAATCCCTAAAAATTTCTTAGATCTTTTGTGTTTTTTTAATAAAAAAATATTTTTTTAGCATTTTAAATAAATTCTTAAAATTATTAGAACGTGTCATATATTATTTAACGAGGTTTTTTTTATTGTGGTTAATGGTTGGGCACCTAAAAGTTAATAGAGAAAACTTTAGACACCTATTTTTAACAAAAAATTCTTTAGGCACTAAAATGTTTTTTGAGCCATAGTTTGAGCACTTATTTGTATTAAACCTAAACATAATAATGACTAAATTACATAATTGATCACTTTCATTTAAGTTTTATACAATTTTCTTCATTGAATTCAAAAAAAATAATATAATTTTGACCACTTTCATTTTTATTTAATTATGATGTGTTCATTTTAAGGTTAACTCTAATTAAGATGTAGTCATTGAAGGTTAAATCTCATTAGACCCGTAATGCATTGTTGACGTAACACAATAAATTTATAAAATTAAAAAAAAGGTAAACTACACAAATGGTTACTTATGTTTGATTACATTTTCGTTTTCTCCATCGAAGTTTCAAAAATAAAAAATTAAACGCTAAAACATCGAATAGGTCTTTGAACAAAAACTTAGTGATCATTTGTGCACTTTACCCATTTTAATTTTATAAATTCACTATGCTACACCAACAATTCGTTAAAGGTCAAACAATAATTAACCCTTAGTGTCTACGTCTTAATTGAATAAAAACAAATATGACTAAATATCATGTTTTTTAATTAAGTGAGAAAAAATATATAAAATTTAAACGAAAATAATCAATATTGTATTTTACTCGTTATTCTATTTTTTCCTTTACATTCATTTTAACCAATCAAAGCACGCCACGTATCAATTTAGATTAAAAAATCTATTTAATTTTAATAAAAAAGAAAATATGAGTGACTTGAAAGGTAATTTACTCTTTTTAATTAAAATCATATAACATCTTTTAGTTAAAGATGTCGTGGCTTACTTTGTTTAACTAAAATTTTCTCATCAACGAACTTTAAAAGAGGGATTTAATTAAAAAAAACTTTAAAGTTTAGAAACATACTAAAAATACTTTAAAAAAATAACTCAATACAATATAATTATATAATTTAAGGGCCAAATTGTACTTTTCAGCTATAGGAAAAAATGTACCATGTATCTTAATATTGTGGGTAAACTATAAACTTCATCACTTAATTATACTCTCTCTCATGTTTTGCTCACTAAACTTTAAAAGTTTCCAATTTTCTCGTTGAACTTAATACATTTGATTTTTTAGTCACTTCTCCGGTAAATAATTAACGACGTCAAAATGATGTCGTTTTAAAATAGAAAATTTTCATCAAAACGATGTCATTTTATATCTATATAAAAGTCAATTTATAACGTCGTTAGTGAGAAAACGACTAAGTGACAAAAACTCAATGTATTAAGTGTAGTGAAGAAATTGAAAAAATTTAAAGTACAGTGAGTAAAATAGGAGAGAGACTAAAGTTCAGTTACTAAGTTTGTAATTTACCCTAATATTGTCAACTACGCTTCTAATATCACAATTTCCAAGAATATTAATATATTCGTTAAATTACAAAACAATCCCTATAATTTTACAATTGTTCCAACACTGACCCCCAATTCCCCACTTTTTATTTATTTCCCCATCACACCCTCTCCCTTCTTTCCTTCGATAACTCGCTCTTCTTTTTCCTAATTTCTCAAAATTGACCCCAAAGCTTTTAGGGTTTCTCCTTCACCTCCATTTCCAAGCCCTTGACTTTTGCCTCTCTGGTAAATTCACCCCCTTTTACTCTTTCCTTCTATTCTTTATCACTCAATTTTTCTCCTTTAATTGATAATTTTTTAATGCATGGGTTTGCATGCTGTAATTTGGTTTAATTATTTTAATTCTATTGCATGCTCCAGGAATCCTTGCGGCTGATTCGAAAATCTAATTTAGTTTCGTATTTAAATTATTGGATTTTCGTTAAATCTTCTGCTTCTTGGTGGGTTTTTGCTAATCTGATTATTATGAGACCCTTGTTTTTTTTAATTGAGCTCCCTAGCAGTGGATAACCCGTTTGGTTGTTTTATATGTTGGCTTTGAGCACTTTTTTTTAATTACTGGTTAGTTATGTGATGCTGCTTGTAAATTTTGAGCTTTTGTTAATGTAAATTCTTTTTTTGTCAATGGTGTATCTTTTTTCTTTTTTATTGCAATGATAAATTATTAAGTTGGTTGCCTTGGTTTGATGGTTTAAGAAAATTTTATGGTTCCGTTGTTTGAAGCTTTAGTAGTGTGACCGCTTAGTACTTACTGTAAGTTTGCCTTTGAGGAATGCCATGGTGCTTAGTACTGACTGAAATGAAAAAAACTGTGGTTTTTGGACTAAATTGCCAAATCTTGTGTAATTGTTGTATGTTTTCTGCCAAACCCAATGCTTGCCTTGCTCATAGTGTTAATGCACTGATGTTGTAGGCCATGTATAGTTTGTGATGATTTTAAATTTTGGTTGTAATTTATTTTATGATTTTATGTTACCATTTTGTAGTTTTGTTGTTGTTCATTTAAGTTAAGAAGCGATTTGGAATGGTGCGGGGGAAGCTGATTTTGATTTTCCAGCATGGTGGTGAATTTGTGCCGAAAGATGATGGATCCTTGTCATATTCTGGAGGAGAGGCGCATGCCTTGGATATCAGTCCTGAGACAGAATTCGACGATCTCAAGTACACATTAGCTGAAACATGTAACTTGGAATATAGATCTTTGACTGTCAAATATTTTCTCCCTGGAAACAGGAGAACTCTAATTACTTTGTCTAATGACAAAGACCTGAAAAGGATGTATGATTTTCATGGGGACTCGGTGACTGCAGACGTTTTCATTACAGGGACAAAAGTCGTTGCTCCTGTAAATCTTGGCACGCAAGCTAAGAGGTAATTGCAGTCTACCGGCGATTATCAGCATCTTCTAGATTCTTTTTGCTGTCAATGTTATTCTTTTGTCACGTTTTATAAGGGCATCCATTATCTTTGCATCATCAAGCAAAATGAGAATGTGCTGAAACAATCCATGTTCTTTGATGAGTTTGGGTTTGCCTCAGTATTTGTGCATAGTGGTTAATTGTGGAAATAGTCAAATCAACAGTTTCATTAAGATCAGTCATCACTTGCAGGAAAGCTGGCGCAAAAGAAGGCTGCGCCTCTGCTGCGGGTCCTGCAACTTCCAAAGGTTCTCGCTCTGATGTTGGCCTGAAGGATGTTACCGTCGGTATAGCAACTCCCCGAAGCCCCACTAGAGCAGCAAATACATCAAAACATACTGCTGTCTGTAACATTGTTGATGGTCTTTTTGAGGTCAGTGTCGTTGACGCAACTGACTGTAGCACAGATACATTTGATATGAGTGCTTCTCCTGGGGAATCTGTTAAGAAACGAAGGCGTACTGACTCCTGGAGAAGTGAGGCTAATGGTCTTACCATTGTGCCTGATGCTGACAATCTTGAGGAGACGAGGCAAACTACATCCTGGAAAAAGGTTGCCAGGAAATGCAATCTTGCTGCAGTACCTGATAATATGAGTCTGGATCTTCCCAGTGATGCTTCACCGGTGAAACTGGTTGAATTTTGGAAAAATTGTATTACTGGTGAAGGCCAGGATTTCGAAAGTGTGGTGGAATTCCGTGACGCTCTACAGAAATATGCCATTGCACATCGGTTTGGTTATAAACTAAGAAAGAATGACACTAATCGTGCTAGTGCTATATGTGCAGCAGAAGGCTGTCCTTGGAGGATTCATGCATCCTGGGTCCCATCCGACAATGTGTTTAGGGTTAAAAAGCTGCACGAATCACATACCTGTGATGGTGAATCTTGGAAGACTGCCACTCCAGCTAAAAATTGGTTGGTGAATATTATTAAGGACAGGTTAAGAGATAGCCCACACCACAAACCGAAAGAAATCGCCAACGGCATTCTTCGTGATTTCGGGCTTGAGCTGAATTATGCACAAGTATGGCGTGGAATTGAAGATGCTCGGGAGCAACTTCAGGGTTCATACAAAGAGGCATACGGTCAGTTGCCTTGGTACTGTGAGCAGATAGAGGAGGCAAATCCTGGTAGTTTTACGAAGCTTCTCATCGGAGATGATAGAAGATTTCATCGTCTTTTTATATCCTTTCATGCTACAGTTAATGGTTTCCAAAGTGGTTGCCGGCCCCTTCTTTTCCTCGAGGCCATCCCTTTGAAATCAAAATACCATGAAATTCTGCTCACTGCCACCGCACTGGATGGGGACGACGGGATTTTCCCTGTTGCATTTGCTGTTGTAGACAATGAAAACGAGGACAGTTGGCGTTGGTTTTTGGAGCAGCTGAAATCTGCAGTATCGACTTCTCGTTCTCTAACCTTTGTCTCTGATAGAGATAAGAGATTAATGAAGCATGTACTTGAAATATTTGAGAATGCACACCATGGTTACTCGATATACTACTTGATGGACAGCTTCATACAAAAATTGAAGGGACCCTTCCATGGAGAAGGGAGAGCCTCATTGCCTGGCTGTTTCTTGGCTGCAGCGAAAGCAGTCCGACATGGTGGTTTTAAAACGTACACCGAGCAAATTAAACGGATTTCTTCAAGTGCCTATGATTGGATCATGCAAAATCAGCCTGAATACTGGGCAAATGCATTTTTCAAGGGTGAGCTTTACAGTCACATAACACTCAACATTGCTGAGTCATATGCTGACTGGATAGAGGAAGCACGAGAACTACCCATCATGCAAAAGCTAGAAGTACTAAGATGTACAATCATGAAACTAATGGAAGATTCTCGAACGGAATCGAGTAACTGGACTACGAAACTTACACCATTGAAGCAGGAAATGTTACAAGAAAAATCCGCAAAAACACGTGGTCTGAAAGTATTATTCTCAACCGACACCCTATTCGAAGTCCATGATAACTCCATTCATGTTGTGGATATCATTAAACAACACTGCAGTTGTGCCATTTGGAAACCAACCGGCCTTCCTTGCCATCATGCGATCGCCGTTTTTAACTCCACAGGTGGGAATGTGTATGATTATTGCTCAAGGTACTTCACAGTAGATAGCTTCCGATCAGCATTCGCTGGGAGCATAAATCCTGCTTCGGCCATTGTTCACCCTGGCGGAAATGAAGAAGATGATGACGATGAACAGATAATGCCTCCGTGCATCTCGCGACCATTAGGACAACAACAGAAGAAAATAAGACGGAATAAAAACCAGGGAATCATCAGAAGATCCGTTTGTTGCACTCGGTGCAAAGGAGTCGGGCATAACAAGGCTTCATGCAAGGTAAGCTTATAGGGAGCATTTATCTCTTGTATGTATGTATTACTCTGTACAGCTTTCATGGTTACTTCATGTAATTTCCAGTTCCTTTTAACAACAATCTCCATGAACTAACAACATTTGCATGCCATGAATAGTTGTATTAGGATAAAGTACTTGGACTTTGTTGCACCTCAACTCTCATCATCATGCTATGGTTGCAATTTTGTTTGGATTGAGTCATACCTTCTTTCTTTTGATACATACATACATACACGCGTGTGTGTATATAGGTGTAGGATCCGCTTACACTGTGTAAAACTAATAATAGGTGGTAGAGGCCGTTACTCCTAGTAATAGTATTTTAGCTCCTTTTTATATCGATTAAATAATATCTCTATCTTTCTCAATTTTTAAATTTAAATACTTAATAAATTCTTATTATGTTATTATAAAATGAATTAATCATCTCAATATTTGATTTTAGTTCCAATACACCATGTATGAATACACAGATACAACCTCCTCCTTTCTCTCTCTACGCATACTTTTAGCTTAAGCATACACTGAAGTTAACTTGCTTTCTCAGTCGAATTATATAAGGGTAGTTCTGCTGTACGACATCCTAATATACGGATAAAGAAATATGCTACTGGAAATGTTAATATTTTTTTTAATATTTTCGGTAAAGTATTACCTAAAATATTATTTTTTATCGGAAATGTTAATTTTGCTACCTAGTTTTCAGTAGAAAAAAATAACATTTTAGATAGAACCTAATATTAACATTTCCGGTAGAAAAAAATATTTTAGGTATCATTTTACCGAAAATGTTAAAAAATAGTAACATTTCCGGTAATGTCTTTCCTTAGTCGTATATTAGGATGCTTTTCCTTAGACATCCCAATTATATATTATTTGTTGCAAATTTTACCTTTATAATTTTTAAAACATAATGATCATTTTAAGATTAATTTATTAAAAATATATTTGAGGAACGATAATAAACTCAAACTAGTAAGATCAAAGATTTATTTGATAATTTTTTTAAATGATTAAACTTTTTAAATTAAATCTTTTTTTATATATTGAAATGTATTTTTTTTAAATTAAATATCATTTGCACATAAAATAAGTGTATATATATATATATTAAAAAAACCCGATTATGCTCGCGAGCTGTTCGAGCCGCATATTATAATGCTTGAATTTGTGTTCAACCGATTGAATGAACAAATAAATATAATTTCAGATGGTAATTATCTAAATATTTATTAATAAAATAATAATAAAAATATATGTTTAAAAAATCATAAAATATTTATAATATTACATCTAAAATTATTTATAAAAAATCTCGATATTTATAAGATTGATGATTAAGATGTTGATACGTGCTAATAATCTAATTACTACTAAAATTTATAAATAGGATTCAGGGATATACAAGAAGAATAGTGAGGAATAAGCAATCATCATCTGCATCAAGTGACTGAAATTAATATTATTAAAATTCAACAGCAATGAGATAATAAAATTCTTATTCAATCATCATAAAACAAGATAAAAAATTAATATATAAAATTATCTGTAACAAATCATTAACGTAAGTGATCGAAATTTAACTTTTTAAATTTCTGTGCTTAAAGTAAAACAAAATGAAAATGAAAGCAAAAGTATCATCCGAAAAGTTTACCATCTTTCTTAATCTTTGCCCTCTCCTAACAATGTGCTGGCATTGGCCTAGCTTACTTGCAACACAAGTTGTTGCCATTTGTATGTCGAAAAAATATCATCGAAACAAGTATATATAAAGTGTTTAGGGTTCAAGTGAAGGCTACAATAGAACAATTGGATTTGGAGCTTGTTCAGGCATGAAATGAAACACGTTGTGAGCAATGTTGTTAGCTCCGAAATCATGCGAAATCGAGAATAAATCTATCAAACGAGATCAAATGGTATATAATATTTAACAGAAGCATTAATTGTGGTCTCATATGGATTCAGGCATCACAACTTACAGCCCATGTACTCTAACATGATCATTTTATGTGATCATCTACAGCTTTGCAATGACATACGGTGGCAAGTTGAATTTTGATCTAGCTGGAAGCTTGAGATCTTCCCAGTCTTCATTCTTCACCTTTGAGAAATAGATGTCGACTGTAGTATCGGTGATAAGCTCCAATTTCGACGGCTCCCACTGGTGAAACAAAATGGAAAATGGTGAACTAGTCCCGGAATTTCATAATATTTAAGGATTGAAGATTCGGGAAAGAGAATCCTAACCTTTGGGTTCTTATCTTTATCCAGTAGTATGGCCCTGCAACCCTGTTAAGTAAGACAGATTTTAATCGGTTGAAGAAATGGTGTGAACCAAAACGAGTTAAAATGCATAAATTTGAGACGATCGAAACCTCGAAAAAGTCTTTGCTGAATTCTCCACGCATGACATGGCAAACCATTCTATATTCACGAATGAGGCATGGACCTACACCTTGGAGTCTACCTGCCCTAATCTGGTATTGCAAGAAACAACTCATCAAGCTTCAAACAAAAGATATGATAAATACACTCAAGGAAATCTCAGAAAATAATGATACCATTGGCATGTCCTAATCAATAAGAATACGTAAACTTACTGATCTAAGAGAAATCTTAAGACTTGTAGGCGAAGCCTTTTTCAGTGTTTGAATTGTAGTAGAGATCCAACCGTCCCTTCGATTAACAGCCTCGTTCTCCTGTGTAAGCATGATGGTACACAAATTACAGGGAACTTTGTAAACTCATGCAAGAAACATTAAAAGCGGTCACCGGATTAATTTTTCTGATAACAACCAAAATCGAATTATCAACTTACAAGAGCAGATAAAATGTCTTCAACAGTTTTCTGAGAGAAGCATCTATCAATGACATCTAACCTGCAACCATGTAATGTAACCAATGATAATGAGGATTTTAAAAGTCGAGCCAGTCGCCCGTTTGCAAGTTTGAACATGTGCCTTCAGTTTATAGTTATAGGCTACCTCCACTTTCATAAACAGAATTGAAATACAAGGGCAGATACTCAAAATATCTTATATTTACTACCAATATTTCAGATCTCTCCTTGATGGAAGCAGATAGAAAAACAATAATGCAGGAAAGTGCATTGTTAAAAGAAAACTAACCGATTGTACACACTCTGCTCTTTCAGTGAGGGTTGCTCGGAGTATTGGCCAATAATTGATGAAATGATTACTGTATCACTGGAATCTGCAGCACATAATGCAGCTTCTAACGCGGGTAATTTCTGTTGATTAAGTGAAAAGATGTAAAAATTATTATAAGCAAGAGAATTCATACTGCCGATTTTGGATATAAATTAAGCAGAGGTTTTGAGGATTCTAAAGAAAAATGAGAAGGATCAAAAACTCTCTTAGAGGCATGCTAACTTTACTAGCAAAAGGAAACACAAAGCTGACACTTCCTCTATCATGTTTTCTCAACCATCAAATACAAAACTACATTGTCTGGAATATATTTTGAGCTCAACCATATTTTAGGTTGGGAAACATACTGCTGACTGAACAAAGTGAGTTGCGAGGCCACATGCAAGCATTTCTGCACCGTCCAATCTGGCACCAGTAAGACAGAGATACTCCCCTGCCAGAAGATGATGACGAGATGTGAAGCTATGCATAAAGCAAAGTCCAGTATATAAGTTTTTGGCTAGTTAGAGGAAATGAGTACAACATGAATCAGTTCTGCGAACCAAGATAGACCCTACCACCAAGGCCAAATATAGTTATTGTAGCTATTATTAAGGAGAACCCAATTTACGGAGCCTTACTGCCTTTGCATTTCTTTTGTAACTGTACAAGGCACTAGCCAAAATCCAGGACGCTAGCGAAGAGATGTTATGTTTCAAAGGATTTAGCCTTGGGATACGAAATTTCAAAAAAAAAAAAGGTAACTGAGAACATGTATAAGATATTCAAGCATATAAATTGAAGTACCGAAAAATCCCGGGAGTCTTGACAAGAAATAGGAGGCTCCTACATCTGGGAAGAGTCCCAAAGCTGTTTCAGGCATTGCAAAAAGCTACACATCCAATACATAAACATTTAGAAAGGGGAAACCAATATACTACACCTAACATTTGATTCTGTCTAGAAAATGTAAGTAGACAAGATTTAGGGAAGAGACATCACATTATTTTAGTTGGAGGCTTATCATTTTCTAGTAAATAACAGAGAAAAATTTGGCAAAAATGATAATAGAGGCATTTTTCTTCTAATTTATGCAAGGAGCTTATAAAGTATTTCAAATGAGACAAAAGAGAAAAATACCGAGTTCTCAGTTGCAACACGGAATCTACCATGCATTGAAGCACCATTCCCACCTCCCATAACGATTCCATTAAGAATTGAAACCTTCAATGAGATTTGCACTCTCAATTAGAAAAATCATGTATATATATATATATATATATATATATAAGTCGTCATAGCCTTAACTGCTTCTTAATGAAATTTGACTTAGAATCTGTTTGTTTAACTGAAATTTTGTCATCCTCTTATTATCCATGATTAGTTCCATCTTTCTCATTCTTCCTCAGTATCTTCCCACGCCCCCCCCTTCTACCACCACAAATAAATATCTAAGATCACAACCCAAACACCCTGCCCAGCAACTTGTTATTTGATTTCACCCTTTCCCCACTCCACTTTTGGTAAGTTACCAGGTTTTGTGTTCTTTTATACTCACATTCAGGTTACATATAATATATATATTATATAAATGTATAGCAACTTATCAATTGATTTCACCATCTCTTCACTCCAATTTTGTTAAATTTCCAGATTTTGTATTCTTTTATGCTCAAATTCAGATTTCTTTATTGTCCGTAACTTGTTTGAGGATATGCATTTTTTTTGGTATGGAAGAACACTTTCGAGAAACAGATGGCGCTTTAAAGCCATTTGGGTTACCTGTAGTTTGCTATAGGTTGCCATCAAATAGTTTAAGGTGAATTCCTTCATAAAAAAATTGGCACCTGCTCTCCATCCACCTAATGAACATAAATGCATAACCAAAGGTCGTTGGCTTAAAATTCCTCCAACAAACAAGGAGGAAAAAGAGGACACATTTGGCTCTTTAAATGTGGTTAGTCCACTATGATAGCAAAAGAGAAATCATAAATGATAACAAATGTGTGGTAGACAAAGAGGAAACAAAGGTGGCAGCAAACTAATATTGTAACTTATTAACCTTTTAGATCTAAAGGATTAGTACTATCTGGTATCCACAAAAAATGAAAAAATCCATACCTGCCCTAATATCATGTACCACAGCTGCAACATCTCCACCAGCACAAAATGCTCTTCCTTTCCCCTAATGAAAAATAGACAGCTATCAGGTATATTCTCTTCAATGCTAAAACATGCGATTCTTCAATAATCAGTATAAAAAGATTAACTAATTCACGAAATTAACCAAGTCTTTCAACACTTTGGTTACATTAAGGAATATCGATGGTATAAACCGACCAGACACTGCACCTTTATCGTTTACGCTGCCAATTAAGTGGCACAGATGAGAAGTAAATTCCTATCTAGCCTTCACCTAAGAACCATATATGATTGATAATGCTAATATGTAAAGCACAGTTATACTTCCAATGGGAATCCTGGCACAGACTATACCTTTGGCTATCTATGACCACACTGATGTGCTACAATAGTAAACCAAAAGTACATATAGCTTTTCTATTTGACATTCTAAGAATATGCAAGAAAAACTGCCGAACCTAAAATGTGCTGTCAAACAATCTGATTCTCGAAATGAGATAAGAGCAGAGACCCGGCATGCTTGTATGCAACCCAAAAAATGCCATCAGACTCAAATGTCTTACAATTTCATGTTTTTTTTCTCCTGTCAAATTGTTTCTTTGAATAAAGTAAAAGAAAATGATACGAAGGTTGTATCTTCAGAGGTGCCTACCTTCAATATTACCAGCTTGACATTAGGATCGTCCTCATTGGCAAGAAAAAGTTCTAACAACCGAGAAATCTACCATCGCAAGAGAAAACATTATTACTATTTGATAGACAATTTGTGAAATTCATGAAGAAAATATAGAAATAGAGAAGAAAAGCATGATTACGGATCCTGAATACAACATTTTATTAGAAAGAGAAACCATATAAACTAGCAGTTACGAAAATAACTAGAAAAAAATGTTTGATCCATTGTTGTTAAGGCATGCTCCTAGATGTGCCTAGGCAATAAGAATTGGCACCAGCCGACAATATATGCATAGCATTTCACAACCTTCTGTGCAACACAAAGTTGACCAAGCCACATCTGATGCGCCTAAGCACCCTTTTCCATGAGCCGGTAGGCACAAAATTGTCCACCTTGATATTCTATTTTTTGATTTCTGGAATTTTTTATTTTATAATTAACTGTATTGTTACTAGTAAAAAGAATGATAATAACAAACTTTGTAAGTCTCAAGGTTTGAGCATCAACAACCGACATAGTCACATAGGACCATAAGCAAATCATGCATATTGTCCAACAAAAGAAAAACAAAATTGAATATTTTGTAGGATAAACATGTACGATTCCTTATAGTTTATATCATGATCATATACTTACGATTTTTAATTTAATGCACTATTACTACAGTAGATCACAAGATGCAACCACAACAATAATTAAATATAAAATTTTAAAACTCATGTTAATTACACAAAGGAAAGCTACAGCATAAAGAATTTGTTCCTAAAACTCACTGCATGACACAAGGGTAATTCCCAATTACTGAAAGAGTTGAAGCACCCTATTAAAAAACATATCATACCATCTGAGATGAAAGGGCGTTGAGTTGCTTAGGCCGGTTTAAGGTTAGAATTCTTGCAAAGGATTTCTCTTCTACTAGAACCTGCAAAGGTAATGAAGAAATACAAATGAAACTCCAGTTAGTCAAGCTATGAAGCAAAGAGAAACGCTGGGAATTCATAATTCGGCAACCAGTTTCGACGTGTGTGTAATTGAAATGGAAAATCAACATGAAATCAAGTATTTTGATTCTTTGAATGAAGAAAATGGATAGAATAAGAATGAAAAACACCCAATATTCCAGAAAAAAGAAAAAGAAAAAGGAAAGCTGGATCATTTATCAATGGAGACTCACCTCATCATGTTGGGAAGAAACGGATGAAGCCATTTCTATCGTTTAGTAGTTCAAAGCACCAACTACGATTCCCAGAACGACAATAAACAACCGCAGATGTTCAGAGCAGGCAGAGGCCTATGAGATGCCGTTTTAACCTGCTGACAAACAAACATGGGTAAATTACAAATTCCCATCACTCAACATTCTTCTTATTCTTATTTTGATTGTTAAAGTTTATTTTTTAAAATGGTAAATTGCTAGTTAAGTACCTAAACTATCAGTTTTGGTCATTTTAGTACCTAAACTTTCAATATTTCATAACCATACTTAACGTTTAGTTTTTGTTTCATTTTAGCACCCGTTCAAAATTTAACGTTAATTTTTTTTTAAAGTTTAGGTACTAAAACGAACAAAAACTGATAGTTTAGGTACTAAACGCGTTAAGTTTTTATCGACGAGTACTAAAATGAATCAAAAACTAAATTTTAGGTATGATTTTGAAAAATTAAAAGTTTAAGTACTAAAACGGACTAAAATTGATAGTTTATGTATTAAATGCCTAATTTACCCTTTTTTAATTTTACTCATTGAATTTTTAATTCAATCTTATTTTGATCACTCTATTGTTAAATATTTAATGAAATTATGAATGGAAAATTTTATTTTCAAAACTCTAAAATAACCCAAAAATCTTATTTTTATGAAAAAAATCCTTAATTTCGAATTCCTTTTAATTTCTCGATGATGGAACATCTTCTTTAAATCTCAAAGATGAGGAGGTGAAAAAGGAGGAGGTGAAAAAGGAGGAAGTGAATTGTATATTTTATTTTCACGAATGGTGAATATTATAGATAAGAATGATTTAGGGCTTTATAGGTTTTAAGTTTGAGATTCAGTTTTAAAGTGATTTAGATAAAATTTCAATTGATGAAGTAGGAATAGTAATTGCAAAGTTGTCGGGAGACAATGATGAAATTTAAAATTTTCACCATTAGAAAAAAGATAAAATAAAAAAAGAAAAAAGAAGAAAAAAAATAACGTGAATGATACTTAGATTTTATGTCAATAAAAAACAATTCACATTAGTACACATAGCTTCCATTTCACCATTTCATTTATGATTTAACACTTAAGTGACTAAAATAGAATCAAATAAAAACTTTAATTAATAAATTATAAAATTTAAACTTTAGTGACCAAAATATGAGTAAAAAGAGAGTTAAATGGTGAAATTTGTAATTTATCCACCAAATGATTTGTTGAGATAAATTGTTGTAACTATATCGCCTTGGTTCAACTCCCAACCTTTGGGTTCTTTTCTTTATCCAGTATTATGTTGCCATTCTATTTATAATTTAATATTCGAATATTTAAAATAGAAAAAAAAAACAAAAATTTAATGAATAAATTATTGTAGTGACTAAAATATGATTGAGAAAAAAGTTAAACGTTGAAGTTTATAATTTGTCCAATAAATAATTAGTTGAGATAATTTATTGAAACTGTCGGGCCTTGATTCAAATCCCAAGGGGATCTTATGGTCATATAAATTTTAAGGGTGATTAACGTATTTAGTACCTAAATTTTTTATTTTCAAAATCACACCTAACATTTAGTTTTCATTTCATTTTAGTACCTTGCCGTTAAAAATTTAACGCTTTTAGTACCTAAACTATTAGTTTTGGTCCTTTTAATACCTTAAAATTTAATTTTCTTTTAAAACTTAATGTTAACTTTTGAACAAGGTACTAAAACGAAACAGAAGTTAAACTTTAGGTATGATTTTGAAAAAAAGAAAGTTTGAGTGCTAAAATAGATCAAAACTGATAGTTTAGATACTAAATGCATAGTTTACCCTTTTAAGTATCAAAAGTTACTAGTTTAATTTGATTAATTTAAACTTTGATTCAAATTTAAAATACAAAATTAGAAGGCAAAACGATCTAAACTAATAGCTAATAATGCAAAAGATTCGGCTCAAACTTAAAAATGTTTAAATACAAAATTCAGACAAACTCGAATGGATGACCCAAATGACTCGATTGGTCACAACATTTGAAGGTTGTAAAAATATATTACGAATTAGATCAAGTAAAAAGAGTATGTTCCCGCATATGATAATTAAAGCTTCATTCATTAATCAATAACCAGTTGGTCTAGTGGAATGAAGCACCAGGTCCCTTAAGCAATGTCAGGGGTTTGAATCCTGATGTCTGCGAATGGAACAAACTGGATTGGGAAGGTCGCCCTCACCTCGGCAGTATCCGATCTGGATTAATCGGTCAATAGATCGGATACCAGTGATTAATTCAAAAAAAATGTCATTCTAAGTTACAAATTCAGTCTATCAGCTTAGGACAAAACTCATTGATGTTCGTTGTTATTCGATATCAGCATGGTTGTGGTTGCGTTTTCAATTATATTGTGATATAAACATAACATAATGAATACTATTACAATCATTGCATGTATCATTATCATTATATGATGATTCATTGTAGGTGTTCAAACTTTTTTTGAATGACCCAGGTGTCTAATGTTATAAACGTTATCATTTTAGGTGTTTGGATTGAAAACTTAGTTAAGTTACACGTGTCATATTATAGTAATTTTAAAAATTTTATTTAAAATTAAGAAATTAAAATTATATTTTAGAAAACACAAAAAAATAAAAATAGCCCCAAAACTTTAAAAACCCTCATTTCAACCCCTAAACCTATGTCGCCCACCATCCTTTTCAGCCGACAAAGATCCACCCGACCTCACTTCCCCCAGGTGATCAATATCCATATGAAATCGCGATCAATTGATGTTTTTGTATTTCATGAACCCTAGGCTGAAAATTACGATCCCATGCAATCCCGACGGTCAATCAAAGACAACTATGGCGACATTTGACTAAGAAGATGCCAGGAACTACATTGACGACGATTGTCGTGGATGGAAAGGTCAACCACGGTGTGTTAGGGTTAGGGATTTGAGTTTTTATTGTAATTTAAAAGAAATTATGGTTTTTTATAGATATGAGGAAGCACTGAGAACCAAAACAAGATTTCTATGAAGCTCATCTAGCTCTTGGGCAACAAAAGTTTGAACAGGCAAAACTTTCTTGGTATTATGCAATTACAAATAATGTTGATCCGGAAACATGGCCTTCTGAGAACGTCTTGCACCTCTATAACAACGCCGAGGAAAATATGGAGAGGGGTATGCTGATGTGGGAGGAATTAGAACGACAGCGCTTGCATGAGCTTTCCGATTCGAAGAATGAACAAATTCAGTTGAAGAAAATAGGATCGAATGGTTTACTCAAGGATATATCAGCAGATGAAGCTGCAGAGCAGGCAATCAACACGAGTGCTCTGATAAACCTGTTATGGGGTACTATACTTTACGAACGTTCAATCATGGAATTCAAACTAGGTCTACCTGTCTGGCATGAATGTTTGGAGGTTGCTATTGAGAAGTTTGAGCATGCTGGAGTTTCTCCCACAGATATAGCTGTTATGGCAAAGAACCACTGTTCCAATAACATCGCACTCGAAGGTAACATATGGATTGAAGTTCATAACTTTTGTGTCGTCAACGGATATCCGCATAAACCTTGAAAGCATAACTTATATTTTTTCACTTGCAGGCTTGGGGTTTAAGATCGACGAGATAATACAGGCATGGAATGAGATGTATGAAGCTAAAAGGTGGAAAAGCAAGATTCAGTCACACCGACTAGAACCCTTACTTAGACGGCGGGCTCCAAAAATTTATCATGCATTGGAGCATGCATGAGTTGCATATTGTTTTGAGTGGGATTTCCAGGGTACCAATTGATTGAAAGGCATATCTAAGTACTTGACATTATTTGAAGTGGGACAGGCAGTACAGCATTATAGTTAGGTAAGTTGATTCTTTCTTTAGTATGAAAAACAATTTACTATGACAAAATCTGCTGCAATTCATATCATGCACCTCAAATTTTCACTTCGGATATGTTTTGCTAAACTGGTTTGTGACTTTCAATTTCATGTTTATTCAACTCCCATACCATGTTTTTGGTAAACGTATATAACTTGTTTCAAGCATTTATTTCCAGGCATAACATAGGATCATACCTTGTGCAGTTTTTTCTAAAAATAGGTTACCGATACACGTTTGGCGACAACGTTAAGGAGCAGCAGGGATCTCATGTTTTTTTGTTGGTTTCTGCTTTGTTCTTCATCTGTTTCCCTCAAAGAAGTGGAAAATACATGCTGAATTCTTAATTGCAATAGTTTATAGGTTGTTTAAAGACCAGGTGGTTTTACTAACAGTTCTGTATTCGGTTGATAATGATCCTAGTTCTGCATGTTGTATTCCTCTATGGTTTTAAGGATTTTGGTGAATTTGTTTACAGGTTTTTGGTTATTTTACCAGATTGTGTTTGCATTGTGCATAACATAAACATAAATTTCAATATTCTAAGGATTTTTCTCAACTGATCATCACACACAACTAATTCCATCGGTTTACCATTTTACCAACGACCATCTGTCGATGTGATTATTGTTAAGACTATCACCTATTTTTGTTGAGATTGTTGTTTCTCATGCATCAGTTTATCACGTGTATGTACATACACTCGTCTCCGACATTACTCAAACTTAACATCTGTATCATTGTATCAACCAATATTTTTCTAAGCTTTCACGTATGTGAAGTATTGTTGAAGGGTTGACCTGTTAACACATATGATTTTTAGAAAAAGACTTAATTAGCATAAAGATAAATACGCTGAGATACAGGAAGAAATTCGGTGTTCATTGGGAAAAAAAAGCAGCATATTCTTTGCAATGGAGAAAAATAATAAAATATCTACCTATAATATGTTCTATTTCCTAATTGATAAATCAATCACCTAAATGGAGCAATTTTTAGTTCCCCCTACGGCTGAACCTTGCAAGCAGGGACAATAACACCAGGCATGTGAACGAACACAATGGACAAAGGAGCAACCATTATCGGTTTCGCCGAAATCACATGTAAAGGCTTCAATGGAGGTATGATCCCAGAAGAATTTACACTTAAAACGTTTCCATTAAGTAGCATGGTCTGGCTCTGCAAATTTCCATCTTTTGAGGTTAGATGGTATTCTTCTCTTCTTAGTCTGGAATAGATGCCTCTAGGCAGCTTGATGATTGTTGTTTTATGGATTTTGTGATTATGGAGTGGAGCACGAGACCGGTGTTTGTGTCGCAAGGTCATTGTACTATTGAAGGCGAGCTTAGCCTCGACGGTAGTGCTATTGTCTAGGTTGATCAATAGTAGTGTGATGCCTTCCTGCAAAATAGAAGAATTTTGGTCAAAATCTTAGAAGGGAAGGATTACTTGTTATGATAATTGCATATGAGATGATGAACTTACTGATTGTTTTGCACAGTGGGTATAGGAGCGGATCTTTTCGGTCCCATTGACGCTTGTCGAAAGAACATTTCTTCCCATTAGCCGGTGCCAAAGAAGAGCACTGCAATGGGGAAAGAATTATCATCAATATCTGAAATAGATAGGCTGCGAGTCTCGTAATGAAATAATTTCAGAAAGCAGAATAACCTGTAGTAGTCTGGATTTGGTTCGAAGTTGGTGGTGTTTAGTAAACCATAATTACCACCAATCAGTGACTGTCTGCAATACGTTTTCGTATCGTACTTGGATGCCATGCCGAGTTGATCTAAATACCAGAAACTGAACACAAATGCATCTGTAACAAGATGATGGCCGCTGTTGTAAGCTCCTCCGGCCTCACCCACCCAGGCAACTGCTGAAGTTGGAGAACTCTTGATGATGTTTTGGAGGCCGCTGAATGTTTCGGACTCACATTCGAGAACAGTTGGATCAAGAATCTTTTCGACAAGATGCTCATCAACTCCTACAGAGTGAAAAACGATCGTGAAGTCCAAACCTTCTTTCATGTCTTAAGCTCCTAGAAGATCGAAATACTGGGATTGTACAAGGTGAATCATACCTGGACCAAGGTTGTATATGTGGTGAGTGACAACATCTACGGATTTGATTGTCTTATTTATGTATTCTTTGAACCAATCCGAGTCATAGAACCCGCCGGGTGCAATAATCATCGGCTTCGAATCGACATTCTTGTATACGTTCTCCACTACGCTTTGAAGAGCAGCTGTGTCAACTGCATACTGGTCTGCCGAGACACGAGTTCCGACACCGCTCCCGGATAATTCATTTCCTGACAAGCAAAACACAACAAACATAATTTGTTTCAATCTTAATACCAATAATGTATTGATAGTTCAGACATTTCATCAGTAGTTACCTAATTCCCAACCATGAATGGTATAGTTCTTTTCGACAGTGTAACGTATAAAAGATTCCGCATTGGTGTAGTTCCAAGCACCAACGGCTTCACCATTAGGATGTACAGTTCGACCAGCAAGAGCATTTAATCCAAAAATGATCTTAGCCCTGAATTATGAAACAAATTAATGGTCAAATAAAACATTCATATTGGTGTATGTTCATTATATGTATGTATGTATGTATACCCTGATTTTTGAAAGAAGGAATTAAGTTGATCCCATCTATTCATTGGTAAACATCCATTTGTAAAACCAAACATCTCAGATGTGTTCTTCACAAACGAAGTGCAGTGTTGTTGATTCTCATCTGTACCATATATGACTTTGTCTTGTAATGAGCCGCCCAATCTAATCTTCAATGGTGAAAAAGCTGAAAAATTACAGGGACCGATAAATAAATAAACAAATTAAGATGAAGTATTAGTAATTATAAAATATCCACGAATGGAAAAGGAATTGACTAACCTCTGATGGCATTCAAGAATATATTATTACTAAGATCCTGCAAAGAAGAAGGGAAGATCAGCAACCACTTTTAAACTAGGAAATAGCCTTTTTCGGATTGAACAGAAGCACCCTTTCAAAAGTATGAAAATTTTCCAGAAAACTGAGAAACAAGAACAGAAACACCATTAAAAGAACAAGTTTGGTTGATTGCAGACAGAAGAAGAAGACATTACCAGATTGAGAAGACCAGCAAGACCCCAGCTGCAAGTACCATAATCACACTTCTCAGGAGGCCACCAATCCAAAGTAGCACAAATGAAATCGTCATCTATTCTACCAATGGCAGCTTTCCCTTCGATAAAAACAGTTCCTTCAACAGCTGCATTAGCAACCTGTGAACTTGCAAAACTCAAAACAACAAAACAAACCCAGAAACAAAATGAACCCATCGCTCAAATCTGAAAACAAAACTTCTCACTGATTCTAAAATTTAGTCTTACAAGAACCATAATCCTTTTCATCTATTTATAGGAATAAATGCTTGATAAGAAAGAAATATACTATTACAAGAAGTATTCTTCAATATGAATTCCTACCTTCAGTTAATAACTAACAGAAGAAACATAGTCCTGTGCAAATTGTATGTAGTGATTAAATCTAATATTACAAGGACTATTCTTCCATATAAATTTTATTTTCAGTTAAAAACTAACAGAAAAAATATAGTCCTCTACCGATTGAATGTAATGAATAAATCTAACACAAACAATATACTCGTGTATCCAATACGTATTTCATTGTATTAGAACTTTGTCCATGTTTGGAACACATGGTAGACACTGACACTTTCAGGATAGAAGTTTTCATATTTCAGGATTACATTTCTATATTATAATTTCCAAACTTTTGATAATGGCAGTTCCAATGGAAGTTTTGCAGAGAATATTTTAATGGAAAGTTCCATAATGGCAGAATCGCATATTCATTAATGTTATCGGGTTAAATAAGAATCTTGTTGGAATTCCAAATTTTCTTTGCTTTTAACTTGTGTAACCTTATACTTGAAGATGCAGATGTAGGTTTTTAGAAATCACCTTGTCGTATGTCCTTGATGCACTATGGATACTTTCGTACCGCTCTTGTGGCACTTTATGACGTAATTCACCCAGATTTTATAGTTTATTGTATGGAAAAAATTTGACACTTTGGTATCATTTCTCAACGTTTTGGATGCCACTTCCGAGAACAAGCCGATGGAAAACCGAAATATGAAGGACCTCAAATCAGTGCTGCTTCTATGGGTCTCCTTCCTTGCAGGTAGTGCTGAAAGTAGAGACTGACCTAATACTTCACTTTCTTGTACAATCTGGGATTTGTTTCATTGATGAGATCTTCTGCTGGTTGAATCTCTTGATCCGGATTCGGAATGCAGAAGACAGGCAGAGTAATCCTCTCCCTCTCCGAGTTCGTCACCACTTGATGTACTGGACTCTCGAATATTACATTGGTCATTATCTGTATGCATTCCATGGAACCACTAATGAACGTCACTTGTTAATCATGGCATCTCTACTCAATTTACTGCAACAAAATCATGTTTCAGGACTCGGACTCGGGTGACGCTTTTGTATCCCGCGAACCCTAGACTGAAAATCGTGATCCCGTACAATCTCGACGGTTAATCAATGACAACTATGACAATATTTGACTAGGAAGATGGCAGAGACTACATTGACGTCGATGGTCGTGGACGGAAAGGTCGACGAATACAGGTTAGGGTTAGGGATTTGAGTTTTTGTTGTAATTTAAGAGAAATTATGGTTTTTTTTATAAATATAAGAATATTTTTAATTTTTTCTAAAAATCCAAAATTACCAGAATGTGACACTTGTGACTTACGGAATAAAATTAACGACAATTACGACTCGAACACCTAAAATGATAACGTTTGTAAAATTAGACACTTGAATCATTAAAACAGTGTCTAAACATTTATTTGTGAAAACGCTATAGTTTGAACATTTATTTTATAATTAATCATTTTATATAATTAGACCTCACGTCATAATGTCACCACGAGTCTCACTTGTCATCACCATCACTCGTCATAAAACTACAATTTAGTCCTTCGTAGTTTGGTAAGAATTCAATTTGGCCCAAATTACTTGATTTAAATGCGGTTTTAGCCCCGATAACTTTCAATTTAATAAATTTAGTACCTATAATTATTTATTTACGAGTCCTTTTTTCTATCGAAGAAAATTATTCAGGGTCATGTTCGTATCACGTTCACCCATGTTCGTGAAAAA